TAGAAGCATCCTATAAAAGAAGATTTCTGCGAAACTTGTTAAATACCACTTTAGAAACGGACTCTGCCATCCTCTAATTTGAATCACACCTTAACTTCAAGTGCCTTTCTTCCACACTCGTAAAAACTTTTAATGTTCAGTGGAACTTAGAAAGGAGAAAGGGGAGGAGGGGAATGTCAAAGGGAGCCTTTTATATGGCTTTTTTCAAAGGCGGTAGAGACTGCCACAGGCATGCACACTTTTTTATGAGGGTGCAGGAGAGGAGGGACCCCCAGGGAAGCCACTGAACTTGCAATTAACAAAGGGGACCATGTTTTGCTGGAGGCATCAGAATTTACGCTTAGGAAGGCGATCGCTAAGCAAATTGGAGCCATTTTTTAACTGAGACTCTACTTGTTTGCATGCGGTAGAGTTCCTGAAGAATTGCAACCCTTTTACTCTCCCTTCATCTCTTCTCTTAAAGGTTTGTCTAGACTAGCTTCTTCTTTCCAAAGGTGGTGAGATAGGAAAGTCTGCCTCTGGAGCAGTCTTTCATATGTTTTATCAGTGTATTATCACGCATTATCTAATCATTCCTGTGGTAAGAAATGAGAATACTAACAGACTTTATAGAAGTTAAAAGATACACCCCGTTTGCTGTACTGTAGATATGTAGCTAAAATCTGGAATAAAGGTTTCCAGATTTCATCTGTGGCTTTTCCATAAATACCATCGCTACAATAATAGAATAATAGAATTTGTACTGGACTCCACAAACAGATTAATCAGAACCATCTCCCAGTGCCTTGTTAAGTCCTGGCTGTAGACATGGGACCTTAGACAGACATTGTCCAGTCCGTGTATCTGTTCATCTTAACTGGGGGTAAAAATGAGTGAGGGCAGCTCCCTCAAAAAGGGTGAACATCTCTCCTTTCACTCTCTACCCAGATAGCCCATGCTAGCATTCAAAGGCAACTGTAACTGTGGGCAAGGTTTACAGGGTGGAGAGGCATCATAAATGGGCCACCAGAGTGTACTGGGGACACAGGCAGGGCATCAGAGGGAACCCAGAAATACAGGGCATACTGGATCTGTGACATCAACACTGATGAATGTATATATACATGAATACACACACACATATATGTGTATATATATACATATATATATATATATATATATATATATATGAAGCTAGACTAGACATCTCAAGTGCCATTCATTGACTGTTTGATCTTGGACAAGTTGCATGGTCCCACTAATTTAGAGGATTTACAATCTATTTCTCAGATTATAAACCCTCAAAGGATTCTGCCCAGACACCAAATAAATTCACCTATTAAATAGATGCTGCAGGCTCTTTCGGTCACCACCATCTCCAGCAGTGGTGGAGGCAAGTTCCAAAGCACAAGGAAAGCTAATTTAAAATTAGACAGCTTTCATCTTCTGGAAACTTGATTTTCAGTAAATCAGAAGCAACTACCTACCCCAGGGGGTTGGACATGGTTTAAATTTTCTATTATAGATTTCACAGGGTAACAATAAGAATCGGTGTACTTATTTCCTCATTCATTCATTCACTGGATCACTCCTCCATTCGCGTTTGCCACCCTATTCCTACAGGAAACAGAATCACATGGGCAGCTCCAAATCTTCTGGCACAGATGAAAATGGGCCAAATGTTGGATTGATGCTGACTTTAGGGACCACATTACTTCGCTCCTTTTCAGGAGTTTGATGTGGGCCAGTAGCTATTACGGGCATGCCAGCCTCCCACACTGAGGCCAGTCCTCCCCCCACATCATAGGGACCCCAGACCACTGCCCTGTGGCCACCCAGGGATTTGCAGCTTCCCAAGCCAGGACTCTTAGCTCACACAGAAGATGGTGATGTCTTGGGTCTCAGGTATGTTCTACATGCTCCCACTTCCACCAAAAAGAAAAAAGGTTTGTTTCATGGTGAATTTAAAGTAAGTAGAGGGCTCACAATAATTTTTGGTGGGTAAAAAGTCTTGCCACTGCCGGGATTTGGTGGCCCACACCTTTAATCCTAGCCCTTGGGAGGGAGAGGCAGGCTGATCTCTGTGAGTTCAAGGCCAGCCTGGTCTACAGAGCGAGTTTCAGGACAGGCTCCAAAACAATACAGAAAAACTCTGTCTCAAAAAAAAAAAAAAAAAAGAAGAAGAAGAAGAAGAAGTCTTGCTACCAAGTCTGAAAACCTGAGTTCAATTCCAGGGACCCAACTTGGAAGGAAGAATCAACCCCTACAAGTTGTCCTTTGGCTTTTATGCGTATGCTGTGGCAGAATATGAATGTGCACAAGTTCATTTATCAATCATTTGAGGTCATTATTATTCACTGACAGTACCTTGTACTGTTAGTAGCCGCAAGGAAGCCTCCTGGAAATGGAACAAGCACCACAAACTCTCCACCCTTAGGCACTTGGTGTGGACCAGTAACTGGACAACCATGACAAGTGGGCTGCAGCATTCTCCAAACAGAAGAGCCAGACGCTGGAGGGAGGCACAGACCGACAGTGTGGTGATGCACAGACACCGGTGGACACAGAAACGGACTTGACTCCTGACCCCACTGAAGTATGAATTAGAGTGAGAAACAATTGGCCCTCCAATTGTGGGTTCTACATCCATCAATTTTACCAAGTATGCATTGAAAATAATCCAGGCACACTGTTGTGAATGTGCGGAATGAATGCAGGCCATTTCTGTGTCATTCTGTGTTTAAGTATTCCCGTAGGTGTTGTCCCATATCAAACATTATATTCCACCTAGAGAGGATGTACAGTGTGTAGGAGGACGTGCATAAGTTATAAGAAACTAAAGTGGCTTTATATATGAGACTTGGGCATCTTTGGATTTTGGTGACTGAGGAGATCCTAAAACCAGTCCCCTCAAGATGATGACTATATTTAATTTCTCTAAAATGCATTTGCTTTGGGGATCCATCTTAGTGATGTGCTAGTCACCTCCTACTTGTCTGGGAAATCCTTTCAAGTTATTCACCTCCTATTGTCTCCTGGAAGCACATGTACCAGCAGCCAGATCAAGATGTGCTGTCGGGATACTATGGGATCCTCAGTGGGTACTTTTTGGCTTTTCTATCTTCACTATGTTGAACCAGGTTGAGATGTAGTTTAATGTTTCAATGTGTTGCTTTGGAATAGTGTTGATAAAAGCTTTTACAAGACAGCAATAACCCATAAATCATCAATATTTGTTTAATTGTCAGTCCAATGTTGACTCAATAGGAGCAAATGGAGCTTGCCTGTGCTTCAGAGTCTGCTTCAGTCTTTACCTCTCATTTTCAAATAATTATTTTCTTAAACTAATTTGGAAAGCAATTGAGGAGAGCGACCCAGCATCCTTCTCTGGTCCCCACACAGGTGTGCTCAGTGCTGACTAGGGAGTATCCTCCATGCTGGATAGCTTTCATAGTACCTTAAGTTTATACAGGATGTGGAGGAAATAAGATTCATCAATAGCCTTTCTTAGGGTTGAACCCTGCAAGCTACAATAATACCCATAGATGAAAGAATGGTGAGACAGTTATAATGGAAACCAACTATTTTCTCGAATCACTCCACAGGAAGAAATGCAGGCCTGGCACTGTAAACCTGGCTAATAACCCACAGCCAGGAGCTCATAAATCACCCCCCAGGGTGAGCCTAACTACTGTCATTCTAATGGATAGACATGGTATCAATTGTCCTATAAATGTATATCTTCATACCTATAGATTAATGCAGCTCTCAGACCTCATCAGAAAAGTTTCTTTGTGGCATGGGTAGCAGTTAACTTAGAAACTCACACCTAGATTAAATGAAGAGAATGAATGTCTACAGAGTGTTGGGTTTTACATAGGACATCTATATAATACACACACACACACACACACACACATACACACACACCACAAAAACTCAGGGTCCATCATGTAAGACAGTATGGAAAGATTGTAAGATCCAGAGGTTAGGAAGGGTCAGAGCGCTGTGGTCCAGACCACTACACTCATGAATTCATAATATCTGTGGTTGTCTCTGTAAGAGTTGCACAAAATCAAGCCAGTCAGAATTCTATCATGAAAGGCAGAGGGGTTCAGGAACTTCCCCCCCTCCAACTGAGGAGCTACTGACAGTTGGTGAGTTCTGCAAGAGAAAGGGACAGTTTTCTAAAGGAGGTGGCCTCCAGTGGGTTAAAGATGCTCAAATGGACTGGCTCACACTCTTGAGAATATGGGCAGCGCAAATTGGACTTGGTGGATTTTTTAAAGGGATTAGGACATGAAGTTGGGATGGAGAGTTGATGGTTGGGGGTTGGGATAGGTGGCGGGTCTGGAGGAGTTAGGGGAGGAGTAGTCAGTAAATATGATCAAATTTATTTTTTGAAGTGCAATAAGCACTTTACTAAATAAAATATGAAACAAATAATAGAATGGCCTAAAGACACTGACATATATCAACACAGAAAATTTGGAGTATTCAAAGTTCATCAAAAAGAGCAGAATACAAATAATATATTAGTGATGATCAGGTAAAACAAGGAAACATGCAAAAATAAAAACCACTTGATTATATTAATGGGTTAGAGATCCAAAGTTGAAAAGGAAACAAATGAACTTTCTCCCTATCTTAGTCAAGTGGTACTGGCCACTGGAAGCAGATCCCCTCCCCACCCTAGAGCCCAGCTTAAGTCAATGGGAATTTATTGTAGAATGCAGTAGGAAGTCAAGAGAACCATCCTGGACTCTGCATGGGGCTGAAGCTAGAATCAAAGAAGCTGCCACTGGCTCATCACAGCTTCACCAGCACCAGGTCCACACAAACAAAAACATCAAGTTCTAAATGTAAAACACATGTGTCCCTGAGGACCCTGGGATGGTGAACCTCACTCTCCACACCCAATCATGGCCCATTGACTTGATACCTGACTTTCACTCATCGTAGATTTTCACAATTAAATTTTATTTTTTATGGAGTTTCTCTTTTACTTAACCCTCACCCGTATCATTATAGTTCCTGCCTGGCCTGACGTGGCATTTCTCATTGAAGCCTCTCCATCTAGCAGGAGCAGCTGCCTTCCACTGGGCTGGATTAAGGGTCATCCCATTCCCTGATAATAGCAGGTGGGTCCGCTGGTGGCATTCTCTTCCCACAGCAGCTGTGTTCATCAAACAAACAAAATGGAGAAACAAGATGAGCGTTTTTTATTGGTGACAGGGTGGATATATGAAAATTCAGTAGGAAGCACTGATAGACTGTAGGGGGAAAGGAGCAGAGAAAACAAATACATTGTTATCATCTTAGGGAAGTCAAGTCTCTGCCTTTCTGTATATCTACTCTGTGGTAGTTTGAATGTAATTGTTCCCCATAAACTCATAGGGAGTGGGACTATTAGGGGGAGTGGCCTTGTCAGAGGAAGTGTGTCTCTGTGGAGGCAGGCTTTGAGATCTTCTATGCTCAAGCTACATCTAGTACAGTTAACTTCCTGTTGGCCTGTGGATCAAGATGTAGAACTCTCGGCTCCTTCTCCAGCACCATGCTGGCCTACACACTGGCATAGCCAAGCGTGATGATAATGGACTAAACCTCTGAACTGTAAGCCAGCCCCCAATTAAATCTTTTCCTTTATAAGAGTTGCCTTGGTCATGATGTCTCTTCACAGCAATAGAAATTCTAACTAAGACATACTCCCTCTCTGGGTCAACAATGCTCATGCCCTTCATGGAAATGGCTTTTCCTTCAGGCATGATCCATCATGTAAACCTGTGGTGGTAGATTACAGCACTGGTTTCCCTACCCTTCCACCACACCCCAAGTGCCCCTCACTCAGCTCCTAGAATACAGACGAGCCCTTCTTTTGTATTTAATTAATCCTCATTGGCGATTCCTGTGTGAGTCACCAATGCCCCATTATGGAGCCTAGGCACGTCGAGAAGAAAGATGCTAAACAAAATTTAATTTTATTCAAAATATACTCCCTGTTTAAAAACAAATGCCATTTGTGTATCAAGCCATCTGACGTGCATTTGCTTTCATATAAATAGGGATCTGTGTGTCAGTCTCTGGGCTTCTAAGTCTTCCCTTCCATTCTTTCCTTTCTGTTCCTCCCATTCTTCCCTCCCTGTTCATTCTCCACATCTCCTCCTTCCTGCCCTGCCACCAATATTTCCTTCTACCATATGGCTGAATGGTTAAGGAAATTTTGGAATGCTCTTGCAACAAGTGGAGCTAGGCTGCTTGCTATATGAGAAGACAGTTCTCCATGAGACGTGAAACGCTCCCAAGAAGATTCCTTGCCTTTCTTCCCTGCATGCTTCTGAGTCTTTCCTGGAGTTATTGGATTAATCCCATCTCCAGGAAGCAATTGGGGCTGCTCACACATTCCACATAGCAATCCATAGCAGATGCAAGTATTTATTTACATAAGTCAGTGCTCCCTCAGCCCTGGATGCCAAGGTAAACACGCACTGAGATTTAAGTGCTATATCCACAGAGAGCCTTGGGAGTGGCCAATCTCTGTGCCATCTTCACCCTGTCTCCCTGATTTAGTGGCTTCATTGGCATGTCTCAAGAACAGTTTTCAAGCCACAGCTTTGCTGTTCTTTGTGATAGTGGCTATTCTTTAAATGTCTCAAGTCTTAAGGCAAGACAATGGTGTCCACCTTCCAATTTTCATCCTTTGTTTCATCTGCTAGTCATTTGCCTTTGAAGAAAATAACCAAGTGATTCAAACTACCTAATGCATCCATCACTCTCAGCCTTTGTAGAGCCCCATGGACTGCCTTTACAAATTGTACCCCCCCAACACATGTGCATATACATACATGCACACACTTGTACATGCACATGCACACATGCATACACACACACACACACACACACACACACACAAAAACACATAGGCACAGAATTACACATACACAGTAATTCCAGAACCTGAAAAACAACTAGAGAAAGAAAAGAAAGTATTCAAATATACTGAAGGTTCCCAAATTTATTTTTTCTCCATATCAATGCAAAATCAGACATTCAAGTGTCAGACATAGGACACTTAAATGATTTGGTTGAGATATTAAGCCCACAAGTTCATATTTCAGTTTGGTTTTGACTTCAAACAACTCTATTATGATTCTGGAGGTGATGGCTCTTTGGTTAAGTAATACATCAGGACAATGCTTAAGGGATAACAGTAAAAATTAAAACAAATGCCTACCAATGCCATTTCCCTATCTCTGTTCACCTTCACTCAACCTCCAAATAGGAAACTCAGTCTTCTAGTATACCAGGGCAAATCTCTTACCTATGACAGAAATGGTTTCATTCAATTTAGTAGCCATGCTTTTACCACCCCTGCATACACAGATCTCCAATGTCCCACAAGTTCAAAGCCAATCATAAGCATTTTACCTTTGCTGTCATACAACTTGATGTGGTACCGAATGAAACCAGAAGTAAATATGTCTTAGTTTTTCTCTTGGGTGAAGTCAGACAAAATCAGGTTTAGACATCAGCTTGCTGCATTGTAGCCACGGCTTCAGTGAACTCTAAGCCTCAGTTTTCCCCATCCCTAACCTTAGGTTGACAATAAATGCTTCAGTGGCCTCTAACATGTTCAAATCTAGCATTACTTTCTTGCAACATTTTAAGGACATTTTAATAAACATCAATATATTCAGGCCACAGATTCCCCCCTTCCTTTGCAAATACTTCATTTTTGCAAAGGTGGACAAGTAGGCGACACAGTCAAGCTATGACCTTGTTGTAAATGAAACATTGAATATTACTGATTACAGTTATATGGGACTCCCAGGAGCCCACCATGTCCTTTTCCACTTGGGAGGACTCCCTACCTTGATTACTTTGAGTAAAAGAACACTCATAACATCTTGCTTCCATACAAAACAAACAGCTAAGATTTCAACGTCTGCACATCCCAAGGGAAAACCCAGCCAACCTAAGGTAACTGCTTGAGTCCTTTCTACATGATTTAGCATCTGATGGCTTGCAATGTCTAGTCAGGCATGGTGCTGTGTTTTATTACCAGCCATTGAAAATAATTAGTTGGTGACCCAGAAAACTGATATATAAAATCCTTTTAATCACTAATATGGCTTTCAATTACACAGCATAAACTTATTAACCTTTTTACTGCAGAGATTTGATTTATGGAATTTATCTACATTATCATTATGAGAAGAGATAAAAAGTATATTATCCAAGGTGTTGGCACTAACAATAAAGAATCACTTTTTCCTCTCATGGACACTTAAGTAGCCATGGCAGCCTCTTGCTAAGTCTCTGTAGAATGGTTTGATTCTGGCAATCATTCATTAATGGTTAGCTGACGACCTACTAAGTGTGTGTGCAAGTTTGTATGGGGTGAGGGTCAAATTCTGCAATGTGGACAATTGAAATTCAACCCTTATCCTTCCTCACCTGAAAACTCAGCTCACAGGTGACTGAAATGAACTTCAAAGTCATATGCTATGTGAAAGACAATACAGAGAGAGCACAGGCCTGGCAAGGGAGTTGAGGGATGGGAGCTGCTGCAGCACCTTCTCTGAGGAAGTGATTTGGAGGCTGCAAGCTGCAAAGTTTATGCAGGTGAATGGTGCATTGTATAGCTGGAATTGGAAAACATTGGGGGATTTTGTTTGTTTGTATCATTTAGGTTGTGTGTGTGTGTGTGTGTGTGTGTGAGAGAGAGAGAGACAGAGAGAAAGAGAGAGAGAATCAAACCCAGAGCTTTTCACATTCTAGCAAGTGCTCTAATACTGAGCTATGCCACCACCAGGGAACTTTTCATTGGTTTATCAGTTGATTAATTCCTTAGTCCACTTTACCAAACCAATAAAGAAGTGACTCACAGAAGTATGTTGAGCAATAATTCTATCCTTTGGAAATAAGGGAGACACAAGACTAAAGAAATGGCTCAGCAGTAAGAGCACTTGATGCTCTTACAATGGATACAGATTTGGTCTCCAGCATCTTCTACATTGATGCTTAGATCTGTCCTTAGCTCCAGTTTCAGGAGATCTAGTATCCTCTTCAGGCCTGCACAGGCATGAGGGTAGTACACTTACACATACACAGCCAAAACACACATACACATAAAATAAAACTAATAAATCTTTAAGAAGAAAAGGGGAAGGAAGTATTAGAAAGAGGAATGAAACCCGGCCTCTACTTGCCCACTCTGGTGTCTCCTGGCCTGGGGACTGCAGGCAGGTCAACTTGCCCCGGACTAACCAAACAAGTTTGCTGACAGCACTGTGCTAATCCAGCTCCCACCCACCTGGAGAGGGAGTGCCTCAGACGCACCTGCATCCACCATGAGACCCATCACAGCATTGGACCTGCTTGCACCCACAGGAAGAGAACCTTGGACCCATACCCACCAGGAGAGGATAAGACCCCACCTGTACCCACTGGGAGATGGGATGGAAAGATAACATTATAAGAACACATTCAACAACAGAAAAACCAATATGATACCACCAGAGTCTAAGGACTCTACACCAGCAAGACCTGAACATCCCAACACAGCAGAAGAGAATGACCTTAAAAACATCTTCATAAAGATGATAGAGACCCTAAAAGAGGAAATGAGAAATCCTTTAAAGAAATGGAAAAAAAGAAAAACCAAATATTGCAAGAAACAAGTCAAAGAGTACAATTTTGAAAGCTGAAAAAGAGACCAAAAAACCCACAGTCTGAAGGAATGCTGGAATTAGAAAAGGTGGGTAAATTATCAGGAACTACAGATGCAAGCATAACCACCAGAATACAAGAATTAGAAGAGAGAATCTCAGGCTTTGAAGATACACTAGGAGAAATAGATTCATGGGCCAAAGAAAATCTGAAGTCCAACAAATTCCTAACACAAAATATCCAGGAAATATGGGACACTGTGAAAACACCACACCTAAGAAAAATAGGTATAGAAAAAGGAGAAGAAGAGTGCCTGGACCCTACCCAGAGTGAAATGACAGACTCTAGATATCCCCTATGTGGAAGGATTTGGCAATAGGGTGGGAGGCTGGGGGGGAAGGGGAGTGCAGGAGGAGGGGAGGGAGAGGAAACTGGGATTGACATGTAAAACAAGCTATTTAAAATTAAAATAAAAAATGATAAAAGAAAAAAAAAGAAAAAGGAGAA